AATGAAAATATAAAAATAACATATATGTTTATCAAATCAAGTCAAAAGTCCATTTACACAATACAGATCTGGAACAGAGCAAATAAGGACCTGAAAAACATCAGTGTTGGGATCAGGTGTCATAGTGGTATATCAAGCTTGAAAAATGGTGACCTAAAACAAGATTGCAGTTTCATAAATCTGTATTACTAATAGCTCAAATCGCTTTAGAAATTGATGGTACATTGCTATAGGGTACTAGTATGCTCTTACGTATCAAATCCACTAGGAGACACATATCATATATGCTGGTACTGGTGATACAAAAATAAAAAAAAAGTTGAAAATAGAACAGTAAATTGTATCACGTTTACAAAATTGAGTTTTTGTCACAGGTTACAGTGTACCATTAAATTATTTATCTAGTAAATTATCCAAATTTGAAACAAACGAGTGACAGCTTCGTGGTACATGTATCTTCTTTCTAAATTCCACTGAGATATTAAAAGTCATCATATGAAGTAAAATAATCTACTGTTATTGCATATACATTCTTAATGTTATCTTCTTCTCATGTATACGTTTTTGAAATATAATATGGTTCATACGAAATATGTCTGCTTATCACGAAGCACAACTTGTAAATATTGGAATTTGGATTTTGTCAGAAATATTTTAAAATCAGTTTCAAAGTACCCTTGTCTACAACTACTAGTACAGAATGTTTTATTTATTTTACTTTTTTTATTTTTTTTTTTTCATCATCATCATCATCATTATTATTATTATTATTAAAAAACAAAAAAAAATTATTATTAAAAAAATTATTATTATTATTATTATTTTATTTTGTTATCATAAACAAAAACAAAAATTGTAAAATTACGAGTTCCATATTTTGAAAAAAAAAAATCATATGATGTCAAAGAGCCTGAACTTTTAATTTATCACTGTTAATTGATAGCATGAGAAATGTAAGGAATTTTTAAGCATGAATATCTTATAAAAAAAACAACAACAACTCAAATATATTGCTATACAATCTATTTTTCCTTCCATGTAAAATTTTAGTGAGGATTTTTGGAATAGTCTTCGTTGAACATTTATTGAAACCTTTTTTGTATCATAGCTTGCAATTGTATGGAATCCAATTTAGGTATGATAATTCAAATTACTGGTAGCTTAGTTACATACGAGGTGTGTTTAAGGATATCCGATCCTCAGCCAGGAAGGATAACTCCAAAAAATAATATTTCATTTGAAATGCATCAAAATGAAGCTTGGAAATGAATTTTTATTTTATTCATCTTTATTAGATTCAAGGTTTTGGGAAGTCTTACAAAAGATCTTATAAAAGTCGACATTTGTACCCTATAAAAGGGGGAAAAATTAACACACTGCAGTTTTTGAGAAATAAGATTTCCTTGAATCCAGCCTTAGATACCAATGCTTATTAGCATGATATGAAATCAAAAGTAATTTGCGGTGTCTTAAGCTTGGAATGATAGCAAAAGTCTTTTACACAATGTATTATAGAATACATGTCGAGAATACGTCAAAAAATAGCAAATGAGTAAAAAAATCATAACAATTTTTCTGGATACATATCGTTTTTTAACATAAAATATATTTGTTGATCAAATTGCAACTAGAAATTTTTTTGCTGATACATCAATTCGCCTTTTCTGCAAAAATATTGGAGATTTGACAATTTTCCCTATATAATATGATTAACTTTAATTTTTGATTTTCAAGAAATACTGTGGATAAATTTACATAACTTTGTGGATTTAATGATACTTTTATGACTATTTTTGATTACTTTACTGCTAATTTTATAAACCTGAGGATCGGACTACCATAATAAATAATGCCCTGAATTCTGTGACATACAACATACATGTAGAAATTATGTCAGTATAAGCTTGGCTTTCTCTCATCATTAAATCTTTAATGAATTGATATCAGATTATGTGTCCACTTCTAATCACATAGTCTTATAGTGTGGAGCTGAAAACAAGGAATTTTCGAGACACTGCTTTAAAGAATCAGTATACTAGAGAGAAATTAAACTCTTCTTTTAAGCAGCTGAAAAACTCGTTAAGGACCTCAAAGAAATATTCACTGAAATATTCGAAATTTTCAGAAACCAATCTCTGTTTTATAAACAAATGGGCATATCTTCTTTAATGACAAAATAATAAGATGATGAGCATCAAAAATGGGTACCTTGGCGACAAGGATTTACCAATATTTTGTTTGCCAAAATAAAAAAAAAATTATCACTAAAGATATTTGTTTGACTTAAAGACACATTGCAAATTTGATAGGGATAGTTCACACTATTTAAAAGAAACTTTTAACTGTTAAAAGCCTAGTATTCAAAGATTCCCTATTATTTGAAATATGTGTAAAAACGACAGTGTGAAAGAATATCTAAACATTTTTTTTAAATCAGAAATTGTATTTATCCATATTTGTCAAAAATTCAAACAAAAGATTAAACTTGAACCGATGGTTTTAAACCCTTCAATCAAATTGATGATGAGATATCGATGCACTTGATAAATCAGCAATCATGGGATCATAGGATCTGATATACTCCAGTGTGAGAAAGACCATTCTCAAAAAGGTGTATCTTTATTGATTAAAGTTTGGCACATTCCACAAATCAAATGTAATAAAATGTAATAAAATAAAAAAAGTATCAATATAAAACAGTACGTGTATACATAACAAAAACATTAGCTGCCATTTTTTCAGTCTGTAACAGATGAATGCATAAACCATTATATAAATGACGTATTTTTGCGTCATCAAGTGGTAGTTTTTCTCAGGATCAAATATTATTTTCTCCTCTATCGTCATGATGGTTCGATATTTACCGAACAGTGGTCTGTTGTTCCTTCGTTTAAAGGTGTGCTCTCAATGTGAGTATTGGTATTTTCATTCAAGCTGGTTTCTGGAAGAAGAAAAACAGAATTAGGTAATTGCATGTACCGATATGTCTTTCAAAGAGTCAATAAAAGTAATAATTCATATACTAATGGTATTATTAAATAAATAATAATCTTACGTTTTTGTTTTGTCCTAAACGTGCATATCCGTGAAATGATATCTATAAGTACACAAAATTAACCTATTCAAAACAACTGCATTTTTAATGTTTTCATGCATGAATTCAAGTTTTCCAAAATGATTGTGATTCTAAAAAATCAAACAGCACATACCTCTTATAATGGAACATTCTTTTCTTGAACGATGGACAGCACATATGAGAATAACAGCTATTACGCTGGCAATTCCGATGCAGATTGGGATGCTACAATATTAAATTTAGAAATATTCATAAGCTTGATGTTCTAAAAATTTGGTTTAATGTATGCTTTATTTATAGATTAAGAAAGGCATATTTGAGAAATGTAATTTACTTTCTAGAAAATAAACGATAATTACAGTATTTTGACATTGAGATCTGATTCTGAATCCGGGTCAGTGGATAACCCTTCCTGTCTGGAGGGAGCTGAATCCGGATCAGTTGACACCAGTTCCTGTCTAGAGGGAGTAATGGATTCTTTGTTGTCTGATACAGCCGTATTTTTCAGAGTGGACGTACTTGTTGAAACTATTGGTCTGTTTGTTTTACGAGACTTGTACACTAAATTATAGCACTCAGGATCTACACATAGAAAAGAAATAACAGGTAGTGAGTTTTTAACGTAACACCTAAAGCATCTTATATTGATATTACGTGCAGACATGGAGTTTTGCGATTTAAAAGCAAAAACAAGAAACATTCACGTATTAGCGTAAAACTTAGAAGCGATTTTTTTAACTTATCTTATCATGATACATTCATACATATGTTTTTAATGTTCAAATTATTACGTACATTTATAACTCTCGTTAGAGAAATAAAAGACTGGACATTCTTTGCATTTTGCATCTGAGTTGCGCTGTATTACGGATCCACCAAAACTGTACTCTGTGCATACTTTTCCTGTTAAAAGTCAGTTACAATAGAGTTAAACATGTATTTAAATAAAAAAGAGAGTAAATGCAATTCTTAATTGGAAAAATAAATGACAAAAATCAACTGGTATCATGATACTTCTCTTACCAATGATATTTTTCCTCGGTGCACAGACTTCTATTGTTTCATTCTTCCATGCATTTATTACACAGTGATATTCAAATGAGGAACAAGAGTGGCTGATAGTATTGCATCCTTTCCTTGACGCTGCCTCTTTCCATGCCTGTTCTGTTGTTGGACAATATTCTACAAGAACTGCAGTTTCCTTAATTGATTCTTTACATCCTTTAGATGCATCAGGTAAATCTGCATTTGTCTGAAAATGATAGATGAAATGCTACTTAAATAAACTTCAGCGCTTATATCAATTCAATGTTACTAATTACAAATGAAGACTTATTTTTCTAAGTTGCTGTAGAAAAAAGGTTTCACGAGATGCTCGTAAAATTCCAATGCTTGTAATCTTACCGTTGGTGCAGAAAAGAATAAAAATGCAATCCAAGTAGTATGGACTAATTTGAGTTGCAATTCCATAGTTTTCATGGCAAGAAAAAAATACCTGTAAAAAAAGTAAAGGAGTTATTAGTGCAAGGCATTTAAATGTTTCTAATAAATAACAGAATATGCATTAATTAATTATTAATAATCTAACAGTTAAATGCAATCTTACTATGCAACCACTAAATGTATCCGAACAAAAATTGTGGTTTTGTGGTTAGGTTGATTTTATTTGACTGACTGATCTTTATTGCAAGGTAGGCTATATAAACCAAGTACATATATATCTGGTAGCAAGCAAAATGTGTCAACCTGTAGCTTGTCGGGTATTCCCATTATCTCACCATTTAAATATAAATTCAATCTAGCTACCCGTATAAAAGACAGAAGGATGGGACTATACCTTTAAAAACCGTTAATCGCACCAGTCTACCTCAGCGTGTATTCACGTCTTCTCTCGAAGTGATTCATTTTAAGTTGCATGCTCAGTTTGAAAAAACACCTGTCTTGTTTGTTCAAGATATTAATAAAAACATATTTTTGTTTCGATAGCTTATATAGAATATGGAACTGCAAGTTCACGTTTTTATTTTTCATATTTAGCCCGTTTTCTTATTTCTCAATTATGTCATTGCAAGGAAAAAAGAATACGGATGGTATTTTTATTATACTTTTTTTAATTTCCGCTAAAATGCATCACACTGCTCTGAATTATTGCAAAACAAATGCCAAAATTGGTATAAATTGGGATCAATGTAAATTTACTCTGTCTCAGTCATTATAAATATTTTTTTTTAATTACGCTATATTGATATAATAACTCCTGTGCTTCAAAGAAAATTAATACTTTACCAATATGCACAAAAAGAAGATACCGTTTTGTTTCACTTTTTAAATACTCTACTGAGTCATTATGACCTCTTCCTTTTTGATCGAGATCATATTTCATATTAATATGTTTCTAAAGTATCAAAATCTGTGTAAGTTGAAACAAGATAGGTTATGCATTGCAATTGTCTACTTTTTAAATTAAGCGCACAGGAAATATTTTAAATGTAACCTGATAAGCTCACACCCATTCAAGGTTTTAGATTTACTTGCATATCAAAGTGCGTCAAAGCAATTAGGAAATGCACGTACACATATGTCTGCTCTTTATGTCTGCTTCAATACTCTATCTTTGAAATGGTTCAGATTTGCATGTTTAAAAAATAACCAATGCAAATTAGTCATTGCTAAATTTTTAAATCTTATAACTGTTTATATTACATATTTTAATAGTTTTCATCTTTTATGAGTCATTTTTCAACATTCTGTGTAATTTTTTTTTCACAGAGAATGACTCTTAATTATTTGTGTAAAAAGTTATATTATTCTAAAATAAATGCTAATTTTTAATCTGCTTAATTTCTACAGATTGGCTGAAAGACTTAATTCCAATTTATTAAATTGTCCTTGCTTTTGAGAAAAGGAATGCATTGGTTTTAGATATTGTTTTAATCAGTATTGATATCTTTTTACCATGCAGTCTGCATATTTTTCTTAATTGTGTGTTAGTTATTTTTTAGAATTAGTCATTTAATCTTGTCTAAGATCCAAACTTCTCATTAAAAAAAAGAAACACTGCACTTCAGACATCAGAAATCCGGTCATCTTGAAGGTCAAGGACTGAAACAAGGAGAATTTTGTATTTTTGTCGCGTCCCAATAATAATAATATCGTAGAAGATGTATGCAGAGTCGAGTGTGGTTCAAAACAGATATTTTTATTTATGATATTAATATAATTCTTCGATTTTGATTGCTGATATATGCCTTGATTTTTTTTACTAAATAAAATACATGTGTGATTTAACTTCCATAAATGTTTGTGACCTCCTAAAATATTTTGTACTGAAATTCTTAATATACTTAAATTTGAATCATAGTCCAATGAAAGTGGATGAAAAAACCATTGAACAGGAAGGTGACTAACGGGTTAAAGAAAAGGTGAGTGAGAGAATAGTGAAATGGTGCCTAAAAGGTGCCTGATTTGTGGCTTAAAAGTAACTGAAATGTGGTGTGTACAACCATATGTTACACATACGTGGCAAAATTAGCCGTGTAATGGTTATCAAATTTACTTATTCGTTTTCTTTCTTTTAAAAATTCTTAAATTTCTTTTTTTCTTTATTAATTCTTAGTATATTTTTTACGGTTGTTCTATGCTCTTATTCATAGTTAATAGTTAATTACCTCTGTTTGTCATTATCAAAAAATATAAAAAGGGATCAACGAGTAATAAAACAAAACAAAAAAAAATAGCAAATCTACGTGTAATATGCATTTTTTCAGCACCGAACTTCGTACACAACATTTTATCATGAAATTTTGAAAGAAAATTCGTCTTCGTTAAAGTAGAAGGCATTTAATATACTAACATAACTAATCATGTATCTTCTAATGGATTTATTTATTTTTATTACATTTAAAAAATAAAAATCTTTTTGGTTTTATTTTTTTCTATTATCTCAAACATGCAAAGAAAGATAACTCTTAGAATATATTTATGTTTAAGAGATTGTTTGCGCAACTATAAGTTATGAAAATATACATTTTCAATTATTTAAATTAAATTATGTTAAGGGGGTTCAGTAATATGTATGATTTTTTGTGATATTGTTGAAGTTTTGAAATTGTTTTCTCAATTTCATTAGTTAGTACTAGAATCAGTAGAGGACGAAAAACATTTCTTATTTCATTGTAAAACCTACGAAAATATCAGAGAAACTTTTTTTCATAATGTTAATTTAAATAGAAATATAGCTCCATTTGAAAATTTAAACATTTTAATGAAAAATTATCAGAGACAAACAGCCAAGTTTTTAAATTCATGTTTTTCACTAAGACAAAAATATATATATAAATCAAATTAATAAATGTCCATCATGCGCGCTATCTTTAAAGGATTAAGTAATACTGTACAGATATTAAAGTGACATATAGGTCCAATGGGCCGGGTGTGATGTATATACGTTTATATTGTATTTACTTGTTTATATTACACACATGTCACTATAATAAAATATTTACTTACTTACTTACTTACTTACTTACTTACTTACTTACTAGTTCTACAGTGCGCGAGTAAAATTTACAACGTTGACATTAGCCAAAATGGAGATGGAGTTTACCAATCATTAATTAAATCCGGACAAAGATAAAATTTAGCGGATAATCCTGCATCAATACATTTATATTTGTCAGATTAATTGTGTTATTACCTTTCCATCGTAAATAACGCATAGTATGCTTTCTTTCGAGTCACTGTACATGCTGTACATATAAATCATTAAAGTACAATATTTATATTTCATAAATTGAAAAATTGCGAGTTTAATTACGAATTACACGTGATCATTGACATAACTTGCATTTACATTAGACACTTTTCAAATTATATTGGATACTTAGTAATTTACAAATAACGTACAAATTGTGATAGAACAAATAAAATTAAATATAATGATTTGCAGTTTAAAAATTGATCAGTTATACATGCAGGTGTACATCTTCAGAACCACAAAGTTGAAATTTTGAACTTCTGAAAATTTGAAATTGTTGGATGAAACATATCATTGGCGTCGAAAGAAAATTGAAAGTGGGATCGAAGGCTAATTGAAAGTGTGTGTGTGTGTGTGTGTGTGTGTGTGTGGAGGGGGGGGGGGGTGTAGGGCTGAACCAACAAAAAACATAAACCCTCATAAAATGCCTATGTCTATCTTTGCAAAAAAAGTAGGGGTGGGACCCAGATCCCGCTCCCCTCCCGGTTCTGACGCCTATGCATATTGAGATATAACGAATAGTACTAGTATTCTAGCTGCAATAATGTAGCCCTCTCCGATTTTTTTCCTCCCCAGAAAACATCAGATAAAGAAATCGGAGAGGGCTACATTATTGCAGCTACTAGTATTCAATTTCAAGCTATAGTATATTATATATTCTACACAATTTTTTAAAATGTTATATTTTTTCCAGTACTTATATTAACTTAATACAGATCCGCATTTTCGGGGGGGGGGGGGTGTTACAAGGTCAGTTTTACGTACTTATTCTAAAAACCATTGACAAAAAGTTAATTGCTCTTATGTATAACTCCTTTAATAAGGGGTAGATTTTATCAATTGAAATCAGACTGAACATACTCGTATTATCAGATCTTTAAATACTAATGAGTATGGATAAATGACTCCTTAATCTCATCGTATGTTTTAATAAAAAATTCAACATATAAACATGAGATTGATAAATTATATATTTTTTTATTTGTTATCTTATAAAATGACTATTTTCCAGTTTTTAATCCCCCCCTACATGAGACAACAAAATCTTTGGAAAGGATAAAAACTGAAAAAAAAAGGATTTGTTGTTGATTTACAGGGGAGTTATTTTAAAAAATAAATTTCAATTTCCCGTTAATGTTGAACCTTTGAACATTTTTCTCAAAGATTTACATCTCTTTGTTTTTACAAAATAAGTTATGTTTTATATACACAGAGGGGGGGGGGGGGGGGGGGGTCCGGACCTTCCCTTTGAAATCTGTAAAGGTATTTAATGTACAAACTAAACCAAATGAAATTTATGTATATATTGCATAAAATAAAAGGGACCTTGCACCCCCCCCCCTAAAACGCGAATACGTATTTAATTGTAAAATCTCATAGACTTAATTAATTAAAGCATGATCGAGACCCCCCTTCCCCGCCAAAATAATTTTTCACGTTTAGGAATTCAACTGAGTTAACTTTTTTTCTTGTCAAGAAATCTCTTGGTTTTTTTTTTTTTTTACCCGGGTGTCCCTCTTGGAAAAAAAAATCCTGGATCCGCGTATTTTTTTTTTAAATCTCATGAATATATCAAAATAAATATGAAGATTTATTCAAATATGCACATGTGGCAGTTGGCAGTAACCATGCAGCTGACAGTTGGCAGTAATTAAGCAGTTAGCAGTTGGCAGTAAGCAGTTGGCTGTTGTATATAGCATTCCATACATCCTCAAATAAAAAAAATGTTTTATTTAGTTAATGGTGGGATTTTTTTTTTTTTTTTTTTGGTTCCTCCTTAAAAAATTCCGTTTCGTTTCGTTCCGCTTTCTGTTGCGTTTTCCGTTCCGCTCTTTTGAGTAGCGATATTACGCCCTCTGGTGAGGGTGACAGATTGCTCTTTTGAAAGACTGGAACTTGAGAAGCTTTTTTTTGGTAGCAGTTACATAACACCTCTTCCCCCCTACAGATAAGCACGACGCAGTTGTCACAAAAGATCTATTTATATTTCCCAAACGAAGTGAAAAACGCAGTGTCGGCCTGGCGGGTGCGGAAATTTTAAACAGACTATTAGCCGCTCAAAGTTGAACCTCCTTTGAATTCTTGTACTTCCCTGTATGAAAAACTTTTAAGGTAAATAAAACTATAAGAATAGGCATCTTATGCATGTTACTTTTTAAGCGCTAAGCTAGCATGCACAGGCACTTTTTGATGATATTTCCGATAATTCATTCAGAAATCTATTTATAGATGAAAATTTCCAGTTTTGAGCTGTTTCTATTTATAGATAAATGACGTAAACACGTAGTCATGCACCTTGTCCTTTCGTTCTTGGAAGTTCAAGGGGATATTTAGAAGTGGATTTTTCATCCTGCGAACAGTTTTAACTCAACTGAAGGTAAAGTAACTAAAGGTACGTGTATTCTATTTATATTTCTATTTTAAGAAGTGGAAAAATCCAATATATTTTGGAGTTTTTTTCTCTTACTAACTAAGGTATATAATATGAGATTATTGCATATTGCAAACAACAAATCAATAGTTGGTATGTTTACAGGTTTACTAAGTTATATATTGTCTACTGATTTTGATGATAAACCTGTGCATACATACATTGTGTATGTACATGAATCTCTTTGCTGGGTGCAGTTTTATCCACTTTATGCCATACTGTAAAATCAATAGGCTTACAGTATATATATGCTTCTTGGGGTACATGTTTAGGTCTCTAAAATAGCTGTCATTATCATGTGTTTAGCATAGATATATATATAAAAAAAATGTCTAACTCTTAACTTTGCTGTCAATATAAACCATAAACTAGCTCAGTTAACTGAGCTCACATTTTTTTTTTACATGTAGGATGAATAATAAAGGAAAGTTTAGATTGATTTATGATAATTCATTTTTTTTACAGATACATAGAATGTTAAGTTCTGGTCTACGAATTCCTGGATTTCCAAATGGGCAAGATACACCGGACACATATCGCGGAGAGCTAGGAAGTCCGCAACGAGTTCCATCTAATTATCATCCGCAATACGCTAATCAGCTGAACGAAGCGGACAGTGTTATTCCCCATTCGAGTGCACGTCCCCCAAGTGTGAACCATGCTAGTGAAATTAATTCTATACATGCATCGAGACCT